CTTATGATCTATGTTGCGTACCCCCAGGGGTACGCGGACCCCAGTTTGGACAACACTGCTATATCTCTCTCTCTCTCTCTTTCTATTTTATTTTTCTCTCCCCCTCTATCTCTCTCTCTCTTTCTATTTTATTTTTCTCTCCCCCCTCTATCTCTCTTTCTCTGTCTATCTGTCTCCTTCTCTCTCTCTCTCTGTCTATCTGTCTCCTTCTCTCTGTTTCATCCCCCTCCTCTCTCTCTGTGTCTCTCCCATACACTATATATCTCTCTCTCTCTCCCTGTGTTTCACCCTCTCCCTCCCTCCCCGCTCTCTCTGTCTTTACATCCCTCTCCCTCCCCCCTCTCTTTTTATCTTTCCCTCCCTCTCCCACTCTCTCTCCTCCTTCTCTTTCTTTCTCCCCGTCTCCCTCCCTCTCTCTCTCTCTCCCCTTCCCCCCCCTCTCTCTCTCCCTCTAACTCTTTTTCTTTCTTTCTTTTTTCTCTCTCCTAGTTTTCCAGAAGCCTTTCTCGCTATATGTTCAATGTGTTGCTTGAATGTCATTTTATTATATTACATTTAAACCTAGTATTTCCACCTCTGGTTCTCAGCCGAGGAGAACCGGAGGTAAGGTGGACAGATGCTTGTGTCCTATTAACGAGCATTGGTTGGGGCTGGTGAGGTGCGAATGCCACCTGCTGTCCTTTGCCTCAGGCCACAGTGGCGTCCAGGAGTTCATTCGTCTTGGAAACAGCTGTTGCTACGTCCTCCCGATCGTCTGAAAAAAAACTTCGGCTGCGGGATAAGATGAAGGGCGTTGACGTAGACATTTGAGAGGAGAGGTCCTAGGACGCTACCTTGTGGCACACCTACCATGATTCTTTGTGGGGTAGATTTCTTGCCGCTCAGACGACGGACTCTCTCTCTCTCACTCTCTCTTTCTCTCCCTCCAACTCTCTCTCTTTCTCTCCCTCTCTCTCTCACTCTCTCTTCTCTCCAACTCTCTCTCTCTCTCACTCTCTCTTTCTCTCCCTCCAACTCTCTCTCTCTCTCACTCTCTCTTTCTCTCCCTCCAACTCTCTCTCTCTCTTTCTCTCCCTCCAACTCTCTCTCTCTCTTTCTCTCTCTCTCTCTCTCTCACTCTCTCTCCCTCCAACTCTCTCTCTCTCCACTCTCTCTTTCTCTCCTCCAACTCTCTCTCTATCTCTCTCTCTCTCACACATTTTCTCTCTCTCCCTCCCTCCCTCTGTCTCTCTCCTTCTCCATCTCTCTCTCTCTGTCTGTCTCCCCACTCTCTTTCTGTTTTTCACTCTCTTTCTCCCTCCCTCTCTCATCCTCTCTCCCCCCTCTCTTTCAGTCTGTCTGACTGTTTCTCTCTCACAGCATGCCAATGGTTGGCACTTATGTGACATCGTACTGAATAAAGAAAACGCTATTTTGTTCCGTGTTAATAAGCCTCAATGGGTGCACAGATTAACCCTTAAGTTTAGCCTAATGACGTATCACTGGTAGCATCTCTGTACTTACAAAGTGCAGCGGTTTCATTCCTGAATTTGTTGGTTTAACATTTAGTTGAAGTATGTGCATGATATCTCCCTGAATTATATATATATATATATATATATATATATATATATATATATATATATATATATATGTATATGTATATGTATATATATCATTCTTTTTGCGAGTATGTTTGGCCAGATTTTAAAGTAATTGCCATTTGAGTACGCGTCCGCAACTTGCCACGGTCACTGCATATTCTGCAGTGATGTTCACTTTAAGCATCCAACTGGATATCAGGTTTCAATCAATTCATCAAGTAAAAACTAATGTTCAAAATAGAATCACTGGGTAAATAGAAATCAATAAAGATGTGCTGTGCGCAGCTGCCAAATGCAATTACCTCTTGCATTCACAGAATCTGTAGTAACTGCAGATGTTTTAATGATCCTGCAGTGTTTGTTGAACTGACCGGCTAAATGCCAATGCACTGGAAG